ACTATTCCTTTTCCCAGCAGGCTTATATAAGTTGGCATCCATCTAGTTTGAAGGCTTCAACTCTTCTGTATTTCCTTTTGTCTTTCTACAGAAGTACAGCATCATTCTACTTGGTAGAAAACTTGATAAATAAATATATATATTTGTAATATAATTATCCTGAGTATGAATAAAAACCTATTTTTAAGTTTTTAAGAATATCCTTATTTAAACTACTTCAGATGCTTTTGAAAAGTCTTAGACTATTTTTACTCAGATGCAAAAATATGGAAATTGATATATAAATGCCAAAGTAATAAAGAACATATAAAACAAGGAAAATAAATATTCTTACTAACAATCCTTGAGATTGATTATGTGTTTGTAAAATTATGACCTATGAATTGGTTATAAATTATTACTAGGTTTTACTTGCTAGAACTAAGCTATAAAATGTCCCCACTATAGTTTCAAATTTAGAAGACATGCTCTGTCTTAAGCCTTATAGGATCCATCTTGTTAAATGATAACAAATAACTGGATGCAGGTATTTCATATTCAAAGTATGCAGATCATCCTAAATGAGGCTATCACAGTTTCATAATTCCTGATTATTTCTTCAAGGCAAGTTTTTCTAGGTTATAAGCAGTGCACTTTTAAATTAAGTCAGTTACACTGTAGCTTCTAGTTAATCTTTGAGACTAGAATAGTAGATTTAAAAATTTGTCTCCTTATTAAACAGGCAGCATGACAGTGTTTGTGTAGTGTATTGTTAACCTCCAATGGAAGGTTAAGCGGCTTCTTCTGTATCTAAATTCATTGCTGTGAAAAATGACGGCAGTGTTGCACCCACCTACCCCTGAATGGGGAAAGCAAAGACTTGCACCTGTGGAATTAGGTGTAACAGCAGGAAGTAAGAGCGTTTGCAGTATATAATTAACAAGGAATTTTTTTTTCTCTCTTTTTAAGCAGCGTATTCATCTTGCTAGGTTAACTGGTAATTAACGCTTGAAAAAATGTGCAGGAGTCTGCACCCTTGCTTAAACTCATTCACTCACTGACATATTCGATTACTTATGCAGCCGGTGTCAGAGGAACTCACCTGAAAATACTTCATCTCCTTCTATAGTTATTGATTTCTTTATGCTCATAAAGGGAGTTTTTAGATCTTCATGTCCCTTTACTATAACTTTGTTGACCAAAATCTGTTCTTTTCTGGTTAAAGTAATGTAAGAACTCTTAATTTGGAGCTGTTTACCTCAATAAGCAAGATGGAGAAGATGGTGTGTACTAAACTGAGAATCTCAGAGGTTTAAATGAGAGTATGAAAAAAAAAACATTTATTCTCCCTAAATGGTACTTAATACATAGAGTGCTTGCTGTGTAGTTTTTAATTGTTATTTTCTTATATTCATTAAGAAAGCTATAATTTAATTACCAATATAGAAAAGATTCCTAAACATAGCTCTCTAGGATACAATGTTGAGAAAACTTACCCAAACCCATGGCTGTGGAAGTTTAGCAGATGAAGTTAGAGGCCCTCACTTGTACCAGAATGTGTAGCAATCTTCTGCCTCACAGTATGATTGTACACTACACACCCCAAAATATACCCAAAATTAGCAGTGTGCTTTATTTGGAATTTTTTTTAAGTACATTTCATTTCCTAATGATACCAGTTAATAATAGAATTAGTTGCAGTGACTTTCAAAGTGTGTAATTTTACTGCCATCAAACAAGAGTCTTAGCACAAAGGAGCACTGAACCAGTGATAATGTCTTCTACCCAAACACATTTGTACTGTACGTAAAAACTGTTTAAAAGGAAAATTACATCTTTTTCAGCAATTTATCAGTGATAATTACCCTTCATACACCAAATGAAGGATAAAGTGTTTTAAAGAACTATAATTCTAATTGGTAAATGTCACCAGCTGTTGCAGTTACTCTTACTTGTGTATATTCTTTTAATGATTATAGTCTCATGCTACAAGCTACATGAAAATATATTCACTAGGTGTGAAATTCCCATATGTCACAGTTTTAAGAATAGGTAAACAGCTCAAAGATAAAGGAAGAAATAATGCTAATGAGGAATGTAAGAATTCTAGGTTTTGATTTCTAGGCAAGTTGATCTTAATTTGCCAAAAGGGAAGAAAATGCAATTTCAGAAAAAAAGAAACAATTTGTTGAAACAAACTTTTAAATGAACATTACCTCACACACTAAACCAGAGGTTTTTCTTTTCTTAGAAAGTAATCACACTATCTCAACATGTAGTCTTCAGTATTATATCTCTTGCATCTGCCAGAAGGGAAGAGCATTTAGTTTTCTTTTAGGTTTAAACTGTAAAGTATTTATTGGTTTTAGATGGTGAAAGATCAACTGTTACTGGACAATGTTTCATGAAGTCTGTTGCTATCTTGGAAGTGATCAAGAAAACTGAAAATAAATTACCCAAGTGTCTATGGCAAGTACATAAAGTCATTCTTCCCAACTTCCTGGCCATAACTTCATTTCCACTGAGTCTGGTGGATCAGGAGACTGACTGGATTAAACTTCTAAGCATAGTTTGTTTTGAAAGGGTTTGGGGAGGGGTTGAAACATGGTAGGAAGGCAAGCCTCTCATTTGTTTCTTCAATTCCCAGTTTAGCTGCCTGTACCCAATGCCTTGGTATTATGTGTTTCTTGGTATTATGTGCTTCTTGTTTCCAGACATCTGACTGAAACTCAGATGCTGAGCTAACTCACTATTAAGTGTAGAAAATTGTCCTCATGTCATTTTCATTATGTGGCATTATGCTTTCAGAATGTTCTCATTTTCAATGTTTTGACAAAGTTTGAGAGGCACATAGAGAAATACTTATCTTATGGATACCCCTCTAGAATCAATAGTAGTAATCTTTGTACAAACTACCCTGCTTCTTCACTCAAAAAAACTGATATATAACCATCCTCTCACAAAAAAAGAAAACAAGCTAGGTTTTTATTTATTAGCCTTATGGTTGTTTAATCTTTCAAACATGGGTTATGAGAATTATGCAGAAAAATAGTGAAAGAGTGAATTTGTTCAGTTGCCTACATTGGGTGTGGGCTGTATTAACTACATTATGTGTGTGTGCTCTTAAGGAGAGGGCAGTGAAGACATTTACATGAAAAGTTATTTCACATTTTAACTTACTTTAGTTACATTAGGATTATGCTGTGATGATCCCTGAATTTAGAAAGTAGCATATAATTCCCTTTTTGCTGAATATATGAACACCAAGAAATTGCAGTGATCCTTACTGCACAGAAATAACTTTCTAACAAAAGTTAACTTATTTTTATAGCTGGAATAAATAGCTTAATTCCAATACTATGCATTAAGAGATAGTAAATATAGTGCAAATATTGTGTACATGTGTGTATAAATGTCTTTTACTATTTTAGCAAATAGCTGTGCAAGAAGCTCAGCTTCTCTATTTGAGGAGCATTGTCAGTAAGAAAACACATTCAAATAGCAATATTCTCTATTCTCAGCTATTCCAATAGATGAAACGTTTTTACTTATACATAAAAAGAGATGGATAATTTTTTATGGTCTATAATATATTCTTAAAAAAACAAAACAGTGGTCAAACCTTTCTATCATTTATAGAGAAGATGCTACCTGCCACTGTAGCATCACTTAGATGTATAACTTGATTTGATTTCCCAGAAGTAGTACTAGTGAAATGATCCATATCCTCTTTCACCTAATTTTCTCACAATATTCACTTTTGAAGGTGAGTCTGTGAGAAGGTTATAAGTACAACCTATGGACATGAGATGATGCAAACCTAACTGTCTTACTTGGTCATCAGTTCTACTCTTTTGTTCATTTTTTAGAAACAAATTAATTCAATGGAGTCTCAGCAGGTGTTTGTGTGAGAGTATGTGTGTGTGTAAATTGAGAGGCTGAATATTTATTTATTTATTTATTTATTTATTTATTTATTTATTTTGGTGATATTAGGGGTTGAACTCAAGGCCTCTCACTTGCTAGGCAGGTGCTCTACCACTTGAGTCATGCCCCAAGCCCTATTATTTTTGTTCTTACTAATGTTATCTCTAATCAAGTAACTTAATACCCAATTGTGAATCAACCCCAGGTGTAGATGATATCAATATATTCTTTTCATTAGTTAGTCTAGCTGTATGAAACTTGACAAAAAGCTAATGATAAGTTGAGAAGGAAGGGTCTTCAGCAGCCATTCTGGCTTTTATCCCTTCCCAGTACTGATTCTGTAGTCTCTGGCAAGAAAGAGTAATGTTAACCACCCTATCCTTTAACATTGGAAGATACCAAATATAGATAAGTGGAAAGTAAACTAATTCAGCAATTTGACTCTATGTAGGAGACTAATTTATATTCTCATTGCATTTCTAAAATAAGATTAACTCTTAAGACACTATTGATGATGAGTAAAAACAATAGGCAGTTCACAAAATGTTTTATGTTTGACTTCATAATACAAACCTTTCTTGATCAATAGCTTTCTAAGAATATTTTACTCAGTTTAATAAGAAAACATTCATTTTCCTCGAACACCCATAGTGGTCAAAAGAAGCAAGCCAAAGAAAACCAATATTTTAATATTATTGATAAACCAGGAAGAGGTGAAGAAAGGTAAATTGTACTTTCAACTAGGAAATAATAACTGCATTGAGAAGAATCTTGAAAAAATCCCATATTTATGCTGCTTAGCATATTGAAATTTCAAGATAGCCAAAATAACCATTAAAAACACAGTATCTACAAGCTTATAGCCATATATTTTAAGTGTTATAAAATAGTGAATATGACCTTAAGCACTGAACAATAATATACTGTTTTATTTACTTTAATTATGGAATTTACTAAAATACTCATTGTTGATTTGGTCTTGAGTACATTTAACTAGGATAATAATCCAAATTATCTTCCAGGATATATTAGATAATAATTTCACAAATGAGACCTGATATTGATTTATTCCCCATATCTTTCCCCCGCAACAGAAACCAGGAATGGATCTGGCAGACACCTATATTATGTTTGTTCGGCAAAACCAGGATATTCTTCGAGAAAAGGTCAATGAAGAAATGTATATAGAAAAGTTGTTTGATGTAAGTAACCACCCTTAGAAGGTATGCTGGCATTAAAGATATACTGCAAAGAGAAAAGTTGGGTTTTGATGGTTCATTTGCAAAGCAGATTCTCCTTTTCGATCCTGTTTTTCCTATACAGCTAAGATAGGACTTAAGATAGGACTCTTTTACCAAGCACAATGATTAGCAGCCCCCACAGTGTGAAGTTTCATTCCCTTTGCTTTTGCAGCCTTCTGTAACCAGAATAGTAATGGATTTGGTCTACGAAAGTTTTTGTAAGTCAATATATTCTTCCATTAAGCAAAGAAGTAAGCTTTAAGAAAGCCAAATATCTGCCATGGTGTTCTTATTGAACATTTTAATCTTGATTTTAAACTACTGATATATACTGAAAGACAGGACCTTCATCTGTACTAAGATCTTCATTTCGGCATAACAACTAGACATTAGAGATGTTAGATACCATGATCGTGGAGTTTTATTTATTGTGTATCTATAAAGGTAACTAAGAGAGCAGTCAATTTAAATAATAATTAATAATCAGTTCAAAGGAAATGGCCCTGGGCTTGACATATAACTTTGCATAACTCATCATAATGCTGATTCTGTAATGTGATATTTGCTTTGAAGTGTATTGATTTATGTACATATCTGCATTTTAGAAATGACTTTCTGGCAGTTTCATTTAATTATGCAAGTTACTGCAAATGTTTTCATAACAGCAATTCACGGGCTTCATAGTGACACTTCAGCTGTGGCAGTTACAGAAGGTCTCACTACATCATCATCTCCACCATGGTCTATCAGGCCAGTGTTCACTGTTTGTCAGATTGGGCAGTCAAAATGAATCTTATCTTTCTGACTTTATGTTCCCAGCCTCCACCCAGGCCATTTTACAATAAAAGTATCATCTGTTTTAATAAGCTAAGTGTTAATGTGTGTGAAAAGAATGATTTCCTAAAAGCTTTGATGCCCTGCAGGGGTAGAAAAATTATCATCCATCCAGCTGGCTCTTTTACAAAATACTGAAACCATATTAGCAACTTCTGCTTCCATTTGGTATTGCTCTAAATTTCCAAGCATATGTTTCATTTCCAAGTTCTCTTTTACTTTTCTGCTTATGTGGTGATTTTCAAAAATGTTGAACAAAAAAGGAAAGTTGGATTGATGTTATTTCTGTTATGTTTCTTCCTAGTATAGCTAAAGCACATATTCTTTGATGAAAATAATGTAGTACCATCCTGGAAATAGTCTACTCTAGATAGATTTTATAAGGGGAGGGGTATGGTTCCTTAGCAATTTTAATTATTTTTTGTCTTTGTGACCTATTCACAGCAAAGCTTAACCATTCTTGCTATTATTTCAAACCAAAGGGAGATTTTTTTTCACCTCAGAAATATTTCCCATTGTAACTCCTCCTTGTCATTTGCTGAACCTCTTTAAAAGACTATTTGGCAACAGTAACAATTGGGTCTAACTAAAGTAGATCCAAGGGGCCAACACTCAAATAATGCACTACTTTAATTGTCATAGTTATGTTTACTTTGCTTTTGATGCCTAATCATTTGATATAGCTGTGAGTTTACTTCCAAGCTATTCTGTTTTTGTTGTGAAAGTTTTGTCATTTCACATATCCTCAACAGAATATTGGACTTGTTATCCATAAAATAATTGTAATGTCCTTAAACACTCTAATATTTTTAAGTTGCACACTTTTATTACTTTAATTAAAAATAAAAATAGACCTTAATTCTATTGATATGTCATCAAGAATAACATGTATGAAGGGGTACCAAGAGCCCCTAATTAGCCAAGACTGAATTCGCCTCAATAACAGTTAGTAAATGAGAGGTTATCAAGTGTGTGTTGAAAGGTAAAGTAGAATGTGTATCTTAAGCAACAGATCATTACTGAGAGACATTATATAATTATTGGAAATCCACTTGGCTGGAGCTTAAAATAATACTGTTAGGTGTCAAGAAACAGTTGAAAATAATGACCCAAAATATACTGTTTACAACCTGAGCCTAATACAGATAAAAGATTGAAGAGAATGAACAATTGTATTCAGGCAGCATGACAAACTTTTGATATTCCAATTAGAGTACTTCCTATGTAAGTAAGTAAATGGATTCTCCTAAATTCAGATGCATAAGAACACATACACACACACACAAAACTGTTACAGTAGATTAACATGGAGTGGTTTTTAGCCAACTCAAGTAAAGAGCCAGGGGCTGTAGTTTCTGGTCATGCAATATGAGGGCTTAACTCTTAAAGAATGATGTTCTTTTTACCCACATAAAATTCACTTGGTTTTGGAAATATGATATCTAACACTATTTTATATGAAACAATTAATCTACAAGACATATATTTATCCTGTCCCCAACCCTTTGGAAAAGAATTCATGAGTTTTACTAAACAATCTTTTAGATGATGCCCTACCCATAGAAGAAGCTGCTAAAGTATCTGTAGAACTTTCCATATGTACTTAGTGTATCCTTGGCCTCTAAAACTTTTTGGTCAGTTAAACTTCTGCATTGTCTATGATTTTTGTGGTGAAATATCACAGAGCCTTAAATAATGATAAAGGCCAAAAAGTGACCATTGCCCTAATTTATGCCAATCATTTTGTGACACCTAGCAATGAGAATGACAAAATTACCCATGTACAACCTACACAGCCATACACTATAATGAGATCTGCCTTGAGTTTTCTTGCTGTTCTGTTCTTGTTCCAGCCTCCATAGGTAAGCTAGTTTGTTTGTTAACCCCAATGTTCATAACAAGGAAGTAGCTTAAATCTATATTATCTTAAAAGCTATAAATAGGATCAACTTAGAGTTTTACATTGAATCTTGAAATATTAAAATTAAAAGTACCTATACAGATCAAAAAGTTAATATTAGGTCAAATTTGACAATGCTGTCTTTCACTCTCTAAGTGACTAAATTTACACAATATTTTCTGCTTAAAGTAGAAATAATTTCAAAAAAGTATAAATAAATGATGGCAGGCCCATGCTGTTAACAAAGAGAACTGAGTGTATGATAGATCCCTAATCTTCTCAAACTACCAAAATAATAATTCACGTAGCTGTTACTATTACTATTCCCTGGGTACCTCCGTATGCCAGGAAGTGTGCTGGGTGCTTTAGCTATATTATTTTCAAACCCCTGGCCAAGGTACTGTTATTCCTATTTTATCTTTATAGGTTAAAGAATCTTCCAAAGAAGTTAAATTAATTGTTAAGTGTCATCAAACTTTGAAATGGTGTTTCTCTTTAAAGTCCATTCATCAAAATCCAAACTGTCTTGATCATATCTCAGACTTACAAAATTTGAAATGATAAAATAGTGTTACGGGAAGAGCAGCAGACTAGAAACCCAGAAACCACAGTTCTGCCATCAGTTTTCTGCTGCCAATAACAACAACAACAACAACAAAAAGCTGAAGGGTTCTGTTTTGGGAACAATCTGTCTTACTCCAGTGTCCTTTTTGTAACATAAAACAACATTGCCATAAGTCTTTACAATTTGTATCAAATCAAAACCATCTTTACCTTGTCTGATCTCAATATAAAAGGATAACAAAGGTTTTCTAACTCTTGAATTTCATACTTAGTGCCACCTGTGTCTCTTCCTAGGCAGAGTGGCTGTTCATGCTCTCATATTTCATAGCATGGAGCAAAAGTCACAAGTGTCTGTGTCAGGAGAGAAGCTGGAGGCATTCCCAAAGAGTGTTGGTTCCCTGTTCTGGAAAGAGATGATGTGTCAGAAGACAAAACTGACTTCTACAGTAGCAACCATAGCAGCACCCTCTGTGCTCCTATATAAGGTCCAAGAATGTTACAAAGTACAGGCAACGAGGGCTAACTGGAGCACATCTTATTTTTCAAGATTAATACTAACTCTAACTCTGTAAGCTTTTATACATTTATTGGACATTGCCCATCTTAAATCCCTTTAAAACAATCTTGTTTTAGCTTTCATGTTGCTGAAGACACACCAGGGTGCAGTATCTAATTGATAAATCATGCAGATTAAAGATTCTCTTGTGTTATAAACTGATTAAATATTTAATTGTTGAGGAGTTTCATCTCTGAGTTTTTTTAATATTATAAAATGTCTTATAAAATTAAAAGTAATTCTTTAAATGATAATTAATCAGTTATATTTATCCAAACAGTGTTTCATAACGGATTAATTTATAAGGACTTTCCATGAAAAGAATTCTTGCTTTCTAATAAAGAAACTCTAAATTGAACATTTTGAGCAAAATCGACCTAAACTGCATAAATGTGTTTAGTAACCTATTTATGCTATGGTAAAAAGAAAAGAATGAGAATATTATAAGTGAATATGATTCTCAAAATAAAACTAATTTTGTACCTGTGTGCTCTTGTTTGTCTTTATGGGCGATGTGCTCAGAATTTTTAAATTTAGTTTTTCACATCAATGTCCAAACTTTTTGATACAAGAGTTTATCCTTGTTAATATCAACATTATTATTCTTAACTTATTTAAAGATTCAGTTTATTGCTATGTTTATTTTTCAAGAATAATTTAAATCAACAAAACATGGATAAGAGTAACTGTTATCCCAAGGGTAGTGCATGCCTGTATGCCTAGCTCTTGGGAGGCTGATGCTGAGTTTCTCAAGTAAAGCCTGGGCTACATAGTAAGACCCTTTCTCAAAAAAAAATAAACAAAACATTTTTTTTAAACAGTAACAATTAGATAATACTTTCTTTGCATAATATCTTTGGTCATCTGTAGTTACAATTGACAGTGTATGTTTTCAGTCATGTTTTTGGGTGAGTTTTGTTGGGTTTATAATCAGAGGCTTCATAAGGAAAACAGGCTGAAACCTATTCAGATAGAAGACTGCCTTTGCCATTTTGCATTTCTTAAAATTCTGTATTATAAAGATATATTCTCTTATGTTTGAATGTTGATTTTGAAATGGCACGTTTCCTTTTTCAATGTTTTTTCATTTCCAAATTATTAGATAGC